TTTGTATGCCCAGTCAGAGTGCAGGCCAGAGCGGGGGATGCTTTGCGTGATGGGCCTTTGCCTAGCCTAGCCCTTGTCCCTTATTGTCCCTTGTGATCTGGGCTGGGCTGGGCTGGGCTGGACTGGTGATTTCGCTCCCACCGAGGTTCGCTTTCGTCTTCGCTTTCGCTTTCGCTTTCGCGTTCGCTGTGCGTCGATGTATCTCTGCTCGAAGAAGCTGAGCGAGCGCGACCGCGGCTTCGTCGGTATTTGGTGCGGTTGCGCTGATGGAGGTGCTGGGGCGCTGCAGAGTGGACGAGGGATGAAAGGCGCTGAGGTGAGGTGATGTGAGGTGAGGGCAGGCAGACCTTTCTTTGCCTTTTCCCTGCTCGCACCATATCTTCCCTACCGCGACGCCTTGTGTGCTGTGCACACTCAGACTGCCCGGCCTCCGGAGCCGTAGCGTTTCGGACTTGAATGCATTGCATGTGTTTCTCGTTCTCGCATGATGAAATGAACTCATGACTCTTGTGTGAGCCAGCGTCTCCTCTCGCAGCTTGACACTCGCCCTTGTGACTTGGGTGAAGGAGGAAGGGGATGGAGCGACGGCGAGTGCGTGTGCGAGTGAGTGCGCGGACACCCTCTCTGCATGGCTCTCATCGCGCACGCGCGCAGACAGCAGCTCCCACGTGCCCGAGCGCGCCACGATCGATCGAGGCGGTGCATGTGAGCGATGCTGTGCATGCAGCATGTTGCCGGGATGGTGATTAGCTCGAAGGCGTAGGTGCATTCTTGAATGGCACTCACAATCGGATCGGACTTCATCTGCCTCCCACCCACATCCTCTTCCTGAATCACATCCTCCACGCGCCATACACACACACACACGCACGCACGCACGCACGCACGCACGCACAGCTAGGCAGTGGAACAAAGATGGCAGATCAAGAGGATGTTCAGCTGAGCGAGGAGCATGCTCCGCAAGAACGAGCCATCGATGTGAGCGTCCGCGTCCGTCGGGGGCCAAGCTGCACTTGGAGCGTACGGGCAACCAACAGTCCCTCGCCTGGCTCACGTTCCTCCTCACTCTCCCTCTCCCTCTTGCTCTTCCTCTCGCTCTCCCTCTCCCTCTCAGGCCTTTACCCGACTCGAACCCAAGATCAAGCAAGAGCTTCTCAAGAGGTGAGCGAATGGCAAAAGCAACAAACTTGCTCTTTTGATCCAAAGCAGAACAAAGACTCATTCCCTCATCTTGCCCCACCGCCACCCCAGTCGAGCTCATTGGGACGCGCACGAACCTCGCATGTATTCCAAAGTGTCTGGCGTATCGGATGAAGATCTGAGCAGCTTCAGCTGTAAGTCGCAGAAGTGGGATGAAGAAAGGCAAGAGCACTCGAGTTGGACTGACGAGCATACGCGCGCGCGCAATTTCCCTCCCCTCCTCACCATCGTGACGAAGCGTCCAAGGATTTGGTAGCCGTGCGCGCAGGCGCCGTAAGCTACGGAACCATCGTGAGCTAGAGCCCACACTCGGGCAAAGGCCGCCCGATCGCATTCGCATTCTCATTGCAAACCCCACGCCCGCGCGCAGATCTTTGGCAAGATTCGACTTGCCAAAGCAGGCAACGACGCATACATTCACGTGCGCATTCACGATCCGTGAGTATACGTGTGCACGCACGCGAAGAGAGAGAGAGGAGGGGGGGGGGGGG